GGCAGGGCTCTTTGCTGCTGTGCATTCCCTGCAGCACGTCACTATGGAAACAGTGGAAAATAACAACATTCCCCCCATCCCCTGGGCCAAAGCTCCTTGAGCAGCAGCGAGAATCAACTGCCCCAGCTTGGGTGTCCTCCTCACTCGGGGGACTGCTGGATCAGAGCATTAGACGCACGCCCAGCAGCAGTGCCAGCTGTGCAGCGGTGCCGTGCAGCACCCGGCTGCTCAGTGCTAAATCCTGGGTGGGGAGAGAACCACACCCCGAATGAAAGGAGAAGTGGGGACCCTCCCCCAGCTCAGGTGCTGTCCCCTATTCCCCTTCCTCACCTTGATCTGCTCCTCACTCAAATTGCCTTTGTCCTCTGCATGCCCTGGCTTCTCTCTTCCCTCTGCCAGGCTCTTGGCATTCAAGGTGGGGGTGGGGTGGGGGGGAGAAGGGACACTGTGGGAAGCCTGAAAGAGAAGTCCACATATCTTGCAAATAAAACTCACCTAGTACAAGTAACTTATTCAGGAAGTCTTCTGCTGTTTTGCTGACTCTCTCTCTCTCTCTCTCTCTCTTCTCCCACCATTGGTTAGCATTGGATGAAAGGAATTTCATGAAGTTTTTTCTCCCCAAAGACAATATTTATAGACCCCCACCCCATTATTTGCCTGGCTCTGATTTGATGGGTGCTTCTTCAGTGGTTGCCTTAGTCTGTTCAGTTTATTGCAGTCTGGCAGGCTTTCTCACTTGACTGATTTTTTTTTCCCTTTAAGGTGGAGAGGGGAGGGAAGAGGAAAAGCAGGATAAAGTTTCCCGAGCAGCAGAGTAAAACCACTTGTGGAAGAAAGACCATTAAGGGTTCTCACTGTCTGCAAAGCCACATTATACATTTCCTGGGAGGACTATCAGTTTCTTGCTATGTCCAATCACCTTTATCTGCTTAGGATGTGTGTGTGTGTGTGTGTGTGTGTGTGTGTATATATATATACACACACACACATGGGGTAGCAAGGGGAGAGGTTGCATGTTTTAGTGTAATCTGTGTTAACTTCCCCATGCTCCAGGGAGCAGCAAGAATTGGTTGCCTAGCAGAGGTTTCTCTGCAAAGGCTGAACAGACTTGTACTGGAAACCTTAGGGAGGTTCTCATCTCTCCCTGGTTGCTTGAGAGAGGCATTTGCCTGTTGGAGGTGGTCCTTGCTGCAGGTTTTGTTGTGAGTGCGCACAGTTCATGCATCACAGGTATTTGACAGAGTGTGAGACAGACAGTGAGAAAGGAACATTCTCATTGAACAAACAGGTGTGGACAGTGCCTGGTGGGCAGTGCTGACTGTGTAGCAGCAGCTAGAGGAGTGAGGCAACTGAACATGAGTAGCCCCAGCACAAAGCCGTCGTGCCTGTCACAACCGATGGTGAAGAGCGTGCTAGTGTATCGAAATGGGGACCCTTTCTTCCCGGGCCGCCGCATAGTCATCAGCGAGAAGAAGGTGTCCAACTTTGAGGTCTTCCTGAAAGAGGTGACGGGTGGGGTGAAGGCACCTTTTGGGGCTGTGCGGAACATCTACACCCCACGCGGTGGGCATCGCATCCGGCAGCTGGAGGAGCTCCAGAGTGGAGAGCACTATGTGGCTGGCGGGAGGGAGGCCTTCAAGAAACTCAAGTGAGTGATTTAAAAGTGAAATGAAATGTGAATAACTACAGTAGTATTATTTATTTCTTTGTTTTATTGTGGCAGTGCATAGGAGCCCCAGCCATGGATTGGGACACCCTCTGTGTTAGGAGCTGTACAAACATGGAACTAAAAGACAGCCCCTGTTCCAAAGAGCTTAAACTCTAAGTACCAGTGACAGAGAAACTTTAACTCAGCTTAGAAGTCTTCCCTATCACCTTCAGTCCTTGCCATCATGGTGGCCTTCTAACAGGCTGATATTAATATCATTCGAGTACATATTCATTTGGTGCCATCTCTCTTGGCATTTTACCAGCGTAAGAGAGTGTCCTTAGCCCATAGGGACACACCAGTCTAGCATGTTGGTAGAATGTAACTTTTAAGTGAATGGTACCCACTGGTATCTTGGATATTGATGCCCAGCAAAATTTGGGGAAGAAGCTCCAGAACAGCAGAGTGCTGAAAGGTTTATGGTAAATTTGGATGAGCCCAAAAGAGGAGTTGTGAAGATCCAACCTTAGGAACAATTTTGTTTCTTGCTTATTTTTTCTTTTCTTATTTAAAATGTTCTATCTCTCTAACTCTCTGTCTGGGCATCCATCCTTCTTCTCCTGTGCATTCCAAGCTGGTACATCCTGTTCCTTTTGACTGAAGTAGTTGAATGTCTCCAGCTTTTTTAAATATAACAGTGTTCTTTCTCTTCCTAGCCTTGCAACCCCCCTACAAAAAAGAAAAAGAAAAAAAAAGGAAAAAAAAAGGGAAGGTCTAAGGTTGGTTTTTGTTGGGTAATTTTGCAATGAGTGACTCTGTGAGAACATTGTGGGAAAGCCTGGGTAAAATGGCAGATTTTCCATTTTGCTCTGAATATGATGAGGTTAGTTAGTGGCTATTCTTATTTTTTCTGTTACTGAATTTCATAATCTTGGCCCTTTTAATTTTCTGTTTCATTTAGTCTTTGCATTTTTTTCTTTCTTTGAGTCACTTAAAGACACAGCTCAGGAGAATCACTGTGAGTTCCTTCTGTGGGAGAAAAGGAATGTATAAAAGCTCAGATCTTCTGAGCCTTGCTCCCTGTAGGCTTGACTGTGTGAAGTGCTGAGCGCAGAGCTAGGGGTCTCAGTAGCTCCCAGGAGTGCCCAGCATGTGGCAGAATGAAGCCCTATAATGCTGAACAAGGTCTCCATTCTCTTCAGCAGTAATCTTGCCAGTTTTGTCCCTGCACCATCACAAAGCTTAAATTTCAATGGCAGAGGTTGAGGTAATAGTAAATGACAGGCTGAATAAACACCTCCTTATTCCCTTCCCTATCTACTCTCTCCCAATCCAGATTTAATGTTGAACCTGAAAAAGAGATTTACTCTACCTTTTACTATCTTACAGTTGCCATATGAATAGCTTGAAGTTGGTGTGTAGTTAGGTTACTGTCAGCAGATCACATTCCACCTCTCTAAACGTGTTTTATGGTCCCCTAACAGGATAAAAGCAGGTAAGTGCATATCACTGGTATGCATAGCTAGTGTCTGCAAAAATTAGGCTGCCTGGATTTCTTGTGAAATCTGGAAAAAGGTGCATATTTTGGAAAGTGAAGAAAAATGTGCATCTATTATAACACACACATTGCATTTTATTTTTTACAGTCTTGGGTATACAGTTATGGCATAAGCATCTTAAGTCAAGAAAGCTTTAAGACAAAAGTGCCCAACAAAAACATTTTTTTTATGTAGGGGCTGATAAAATTTGGGCAAATTCATTTTTATATCAGGGTAGAGAAATTACTTTAGAGTGCAGTTCTGCACTTGGCAGGAAGGTAGACCGAATGACTTGAAGACCTTTCCACCTCTACTTTCAAAATCACTGGGTTTGTTTACTGTTAAGAGATGATATAGTGCTATACATTTACACAGAACTTTATAAACATAGCCAACGCACTGTGGAAGAGTTTACAATCTGTAGGAGAGGAGAAAAGAAAGGCAAGCTAGGGCATGGAATGGCAGGTAGTGATGGCCTATCACTGAGAGAAGATGTGAGAACTACTCGCAAAGAGGGGAAGAAACAGAGGAAAGGCTGTTTTTAAGAGTGGATATTTTGGAAGCATTTGAAAGAGGACAGGGAGAGAGGGGGAGTAGGGATGTTTTTCACAGATTAGAGAGAACCAATTCTAGACTGAGACAACAAAAACTACTGTAATAAAAGCATGATTCCTATCTTGCATCCTGTAGTAATTAAGCAGAAGTAGTCTTATTTTATATGGGTATAACTGATAAAAAAAATCAGGCTCAGTATGTGTTGTAATAATAATATTGTTTGACATTAGTCATTATGATAGAGTAATATTGAGTTAAAGTGGACTTCGGGATGGAACCATGTGGAAACGTGGGAGCCTGACGAGAAGAAGTACAGAAGGCAGAAGTGAGTTAAAGATTTCCTGCTTCCAATACAAAACATTTGGCCAGTTTTCACCCAGACATCTGGGACTAGGAAAGAGAGAAATTTCTTTCAGACATCACAGAATCATATACTTAAGTGGCTAATTTCCTTTCTAGGCCCCACCCCAAGTTCTATAATTTAATACCATCATTGTGTCTGTTACTCCTAAGAGTAGTCATTCAAAGAAAACAATGGAACCTCTATTTTAAACTGGTACAATAAAAGCCCTCGGCATTGGTTTAATTCAGCTCATACTGAAGTCAAATGGAATTTAATGGGAGCAGAATTAGGCCAATCTTGAGCACCTTAAAAAAATCCATCTGTACCAGAAAGCCATTGTAACAAGAAGAGGAAAAGATTACTTCCATAAAGAAAATTCTAAAGAGAACAAGTCCTTCTAATTCCCTATGTGTAAGCTTGTGCAGTATTGCGGGTGTGTACTTTAGCACAGTTGCAAATGACTACAGAAGAAACAGAAGTCTAGGTCTAGCATCTCTGTAGAATTCCCATGCCTCAATCTCAGCTTCTTAATAGGAGGCTACCCAAGCTCCAAAGACTTTTGGCCCCTAACCACTATGGCTGTATTCAGGCACGTGAGCGAATCTCCTCTTCTGGTGCTCAGACATATCCCTGTATCTTCAATCACTATCCTGTGACTATCCCTTTCACTTACTTCTTGACTGTGCTTAGTAAAGAAGTTCCTAGCAAGAGAGCCCCTGGAGCTACCCTTTCAGTTTCATGATTGGATTGGATAACCCAGCCAAGTCCAAATCAGTTGATTACTTGCTCATTTTAAATAAGTAGGCTGTGACTTTCTGTATCTACTAAGCTTAAGAGTTTTATTCAGACTCCAGCCTCTATCCTCCTTGTTAGAGACTGATCTTTGTTTTTGCCATTTTTGTTCTAGCCCTTTGGTAGTATTTTGAGGCATCTGTTTCCTGTGGCAGATATGTCATATCCCAGCCACTGCTGGGACATAATATTCCTGATGGACTATGGCTGAATCATGACTTTCAGGCAAAAAGTGCTGATGGGAGATTTACACCAAACTCTGCTCACCTACATTTGGGATTCCTCCCTCCCCCACAAAACAGAATATGATTTCATAGATTTCATAGACATTAGGGCTGGAAGGGACCTCGGAAGATCATCGAGTCCAGCCCCCTGGCCAAAGGGCAGGAAGCCAGCCGGGTTCATAGGATCCCAGCAAGATGAGCATCCAGTTTGCTCTTGAAGGTGTTCAATGTGGGCGCTTGAACCACCTCCGGTGGCAGGCTGTTCCAGACCTTGGGGGCTCAGACAGTAAAGAAATTCTTCCTTATGTCCAGCCTGAAACGGTCTTGTAGTAGTTTATGACCATTTGACCTAGTCGTCATCCCTTGGGGTGCTCTGGTGAACAAATGTTCCCCCAGATACTGGTGGTCACCCCTGATAAACTTATAGGTGGCCATCAGATCACCCCTGAGCCTACGCTTTTCCAGGCTAAAGAGCCCCATGGCTCTCAGCCTGTCATCGTAGGGTCTGCTTCCCTGACCTCTGATCATGTGCGTGGCTCTTCTCTGGACTCTCTCAAGCTTCTCCACATCCTTTTTGAATGATGGGAGAAGCTTTTCATTGAACTCTACTTGCCTCCAGAGGGAACAGAAATTCTCAGCAGAAAGTGCTTTGGAGTAGACACTGCACTGAAAGCTGCAGATATTTCTCAGCTTTCCAGTTGAAAGAGTTCCAGTTAAAACATTGATGTAGCTCCAGATCCAAGTGCCTGACAATCCTGGGAAACCTCACATCTGTCATAGTTTTAGGAGTATTGCTAACAGGATAGAGTTAAGTCAGTTTAGGTGCTTTGGTAGAGGAGTGCAAACCCAGATTTATAGTTCTAGAATTTCTCATGTTTGAGGGTTTATTTGACTTTCACTTTCTTGGAAGGCAGTGGGGGACAAAATGTCTATGAAGATGAAATAAAAGCTGCAGGACATCAGTAGGTTCACCACCTACTGCCTTTCAAAAAAGTACAAGTGAAATACACCCTGAAGCATGCAGAACTCTATAAGAAGTAGTGTATTTTAAAACAGAGCAGTAATGTTTGGATGTATGTACATTTTTATCTTTTCTGATGCCTATTTATCTAAACCTTTTACTAGCCTTCATAAATGTAAATATAGTGCCTTGAGCCTGTTCCTTACCAATGGATTTGCAAAGGTCTGTACTTTTCACTGGGTCCTGAACCTAGCTGGGGACTCTTCCTATATCTTTTGTATCAGCCCAGTCGATATTTGACTAGTGGTAGCTAGTAAACATCTTGTGATTCTGATTTAAAAGCCCTTTATGTGATTGTGGCATGATTGCTTTTCTGTGCTGCAAGTAATTGCTTGTCAGTATAAAAGTTTAGTTATAATTCTATCTGTGCGTGCAGCTGTACTTGTATAAGAAAATGTGTTCATGTTGTTGAAGTTAGATGCTGCTATAAATGATTGATACCATTCTTTCCCTCCCACAGCTATTTGGACATAGGAGAAGCAAAGAAAAAGCCTGTAGAAGTCAATAATGAGGTAATTCAACTCTTTAAAAAATGCTGATATTTATGATAACATTATATTAATCATTATATTAAAAATTCTATAATCACTTTTACAACCCTTATAGAAAATTTCAGCTTGTGTTTTAGTATGTCTTGTGTTCAAAAAATTATAAAAACTAAGTTCTTCAACACATTACATCAGCCAGACTTCCTTTATTTTAATGGCCAGGACTATGAGGAATCATTTTTCTTCCTTTCAGCTATCGCTGCTGGCAAAGCCAGTAATAAAACAATAATAAAATCATTTGATTTGTGTGATCATTAGAGCTGGTCTTAAAATGAAGTGTTTTTCTGTGTGAAATTTTTGTTGAAAAATTAGTTTTTGGCTTTTTTTTTTTTTTTTTTAAAGGAATATTTTGGGGTTTTGACCAAAAAGATTTTAACAGAAAGCTTGACATTTATTGGAGAAAGAAAACACTTCTTTTGAAAACTGTCATTTATTTGAGAGCACTGTTTATATTAAAACCACTTTTGGTGGAAAATATTCCAGCGGCTAGTCATAATTCTCCAAACGCTCCTGTCTCTTTGAAAAGTAGTGATATAGTATTGAACAGGGCAGTGATATTCAGACTTCCTCAACCAGAGAGTTGCACTGGAATCAAATCACAAGTCAGGCAAAAGGTAGGACAGGATGCTAACTGGTCTCTTCAATCACAACTAAGAGAAACTGGTCACGAGGGATTTTTGCGTGCCCAACCCCCTTCACCTCTTCACCGTCAGAACTTTTGCCTTTGTTGCTTGTGCCTTAATAGCCCTAGAGAGTACCTAGTTAAATGGCTCATTTGACTTGCTTGCGAATTCCATTCTATTACTTTATATCAAGGGTGTCACACATATAGCTTGCAGGCTGAATTTGGCCAGCAGAGCTGTTCTGTCCAGTTCACTGGGCTACTGGTGGGGTACTGGAATTTGGGGCATGTGGCCTAGTGAAACATTTGGGGCTCTTTAGCACTGAGCTTGGCTTGCCACCAATGACTCCCCTCAACCCATTTCTATTGCCAGACCCCTTGCTGCTGCCAGACCCCCTGCTGCCATTGCCATGGTGGCCAAGGTGGTACCCTGGGCTGGATCCAGCCTGTAGGGAGCCCTGCAGTCCAGATCTACTTTGGAGCCCCAAGTGAGTTTGACACTCCTGCTTTATATGTACGAGGAGCTGAATTAATCTCAGGAAATATCTGAAGGTTTTAAAGCTTTGCTGTTAACAGCAGTGTTATAACTTACATTACTGAGGATAAAAAGACAGTTCAAAAGCTTGCCAGGGAAACTGTAGCCTGAGGGAGAGGCCACGGATCATCTGCAAATACGGTGCAAATCCTAGTATCTTTTGCAGTGGTGTGATGCCATGGGATGGGTAAGTCTGATTTTTTTTTTAACATGTTGCTGCTATATACACAATGAGAAATAATAACAAAAATGGTTATCTCATGGTTTCTTTTTGCAACTCCTGGCTGACAAAGAGCCTCATGCCAGAAATATTGCTTTCTGAAGGCAGTGCAGCGTATTCTCAGCAATGCAAGTAGGAATTAAATGTCAGTATCCTGGGGTAACACATACATAGTGGTGGGAGATCATGGATGATGAGCACCCCAAGGGCATTTGCTGTGATGCTCTGATACTATTTATTCTCCAAAGGATGTACAATATGATGCAGATTCCAGCTGATAAACATATTTTTAATTTTGTAGTATGTGAGCATGTTTCTTAAAAGGACATGACAGTCACATTTATCTAGCAAGTCTAGTAATTACAAGTAAGATCTAGTTTTGCTATAAATGAAATACTATTTCTTTAACCACTTGCTTTTCACATGGAGCAGCCCTTTGTAGGAAAGAAGCATTGCTGATTCCCTGTATAGTCACTCAGTTGCATTCCTGTTCTTTGTACAAGTCTGTTTCACAACAACAAGACAGAAGGCAGGGCAGGGTGGCACCTTAAAGACTATTTGGGTCAGAGAGGCATGAGCTTTTGTAGGCGGCAGCCTCTCTTATTAGCTATAATGAACTCGGCTGTTGCCTGTAAAAAATCATGCCTCTCAAAACCAGCTAGGTGCTGTCCTGGTCTACCTTCTACCTCACTCAGGCTAACATGGCTAACTGCTCCTCTACGAGCAGAAGGCAAGGAAATGTAGTTAAGCTCTTACCCAGATATGGGGCTTCAGCCTCTCTGTTGCAGAGCACTAAGGTGCCCTGCTCCTAGAGGGCAGAAACTGCCAGAGGAAAAGCTCTGGCATTGCATAGGGAGCCCTAGCAGGGAATAGGAGCCCACCTGTGGGTTGCCAGGGCAACTAGAGGGAGCAAATGACCCACACCTGCCAGCGGTCAGCTGCCTGTAGGAGGCAGAGCCTGGAGGCTGAGGCCAGGCGGGCAGGTCCCGGCCAGCAGCCAGAGAGGCAGGAGCTCCCTCAGCTATGATACGAGAAGCAGTGGGAACCGCAGGTACTGCCTAAGCCAGATAACAGAAGGCAGCTCTAAGATGTCGGAGCAATGTGGTTACAGCCATGCGGCTTATAGTTATGTTGTAGCCTAGGGGCTTGTGTTTTGTTTTGTTATTACACTGGTGGTTTGGGTGAGGCTATAAGGGGTTGGAGGAGGCCCCATCGGGGACTCACAACGGAGTGTAGGACCCCAGCGCCAGAGCGGGCGCAGTATACTCATCGGGGACTCACAACGGAGTGTGAGGACCCCAGCGCCAGAGCGGGCACAGTATACTCATAGGGACCCACCCAGCGCCGGGGAGCCCCCGCCGTACTTAGGGGAAACCCACAGTGGCGTGGGGACCCCAGCGCCAGTGAGGGCGCAGCATACGGGGTGTATAGACCCCAGCCCTAGAGAGGGGCATTTTGAGAAGCCCTAGTGTGGGTGTAGCAAGCCCTAGAGAAGGGGGCACTTCTGAGAAGCCCCAGCGCGGGCGTGGCGAGCCCCAGAAGGGGGGGTCGCACTTCTGAGAAGCCCCAGCGCGGGCGTGGCGAGCCCCGAGAGAGGGGGCACTATTGAGAAGGCCCCGAGAGAGGGTGACCGCGCAGAGAAGGCCTCGAGAGAGGTCGAGGAGAGCCCCAGGAGGGGGCAGCAGTGTACGTAGAAAGAGAGAGATAAAGACAGAGCAACGTCGATTCCATCTGCAAGGCTTGGGGCGTGGTATCAGGGGTGGTTGGAGCCACGCATAGCCCATAAGGCTAGGGTGCCCCGAAGCACCGGTTTACAGGACAAGACCCACGAGGGGTCCGAATAAACATAGAGTCGTGTCCAAGAGGGCGTAAGGAGCCTCCCAACCAATTTAAACCATCAAAGACGTGGCGGGTGACAAATAGAGGGTGCCCTTGGGCCAACTTGACAAGGAGAGGGGGCCTTAAGGAGATCACGGCCCTCCTGCAGGACCCTGCCGTGACACTCTCCCTAAAATGTGTGTGTAACTCTGAATAGCATTCCAAAAGAAAAAAAATGCTATAGTGCAAGCATCTATTATGCTAGCATTTCCACCCCACTTTACCAATCAGGCCTATTTCTGACTTGCAGTATCTCTCTCATTCCAGGCCTTAGTCTCTTGAAGAGACTCTGTGCTACTCAAAGTTTGTGAATCTTGCTGAAGTAAATTAAATAGTTTGTGGTGGTGTAAAGTTCACAAATAGAAACCAGGTCAAAATTGTTATTCTCACTCTTTATGGTGGCCCAACTCAGAATGCTAAAACCCATGTTTTGAAATAAAATGATTCACCCATTGCTGCACTTGTCTTAACTCAGTGGTGCTCAATTTTTCAACCCTGTTGGCCAGATAAGTGGCACTGGACAAGTCTGCAGGCCAGATTGGGCCTTGTCCTGCCTTTGTTCTGAACTGAAGGAAAAAAATCCATAGTGATGGAGACTAATTTTTGCTTTATTCTTTGCTGTTTTCCAGAATGCCTGAGCATGTAGATAGCACTATGTTTTATACTAGGACACCACTGGGAGAAATACATCCTAGGTACCTGGAGTAAGCGGTTTTGCTGAACCTGAGAAAATGACTTGTATTTCTTCTTCCAAATAGAGTGCTTTTTTCACTCTGAGGCATAAGTCCTCTTAATAATGAAAAGCATTTCATGCCTTCCATGAATTTCCTAAGCAGATCACTTTCTTTGCACATTATAGAAAAAGTCCATTACTGAAAAAGTGCCCTTCTTAGTCTCTTGGCTACTGGAATATAACACTGCCAGTTATCATGATGACTGCAAGCCTCACTACTTTTAACTGCAGTGTAGGATGCATTTTTCTAAGCAGGTTGTAAAGTAATAGAGTAAGTCTAACAGCTTTTTGGAGTTAGTCACTCAGATTTGACTAATTTGAGTTTAGAAGAGAAGGATCATTAGCTCTACTTTAACAGTACACTCTGGCATGATGTAATACTTATTCCTGGATATGGGGCACAAGCCTGGCTTCATAGAAGTTGTGAGAGGGGAAGAAAAAGCCCCCACAGCGTGGCCCGGACTCTCACCCGACGTGCCCCGACACTCACCTTAGGAGCTGGGAGGGGACTCTGACACAGGCTCAGCAGTTTTGTAGCTGTCTGAATCTGAGTATAGGCGAATACTGGGGGCATGGCTTTGGAGCAGCATGAACTGCTCAAAAGGCAGCGGGGGATTCAGCTGGGCCGGCGCCGGGAAGACAGGAGCAGAATGCTGGCTGGGAGACACTGGCTACAGAGCCAGGAGGCTCCAGCCCCAGCCACCCTGAGAAGGAGCCAGCCGCTTACTGGAGGACCCCAACAGGTGAGGCAGAAGGTAGTCTTGGGGGCTGACTGGGGCAAGGGAGCCCCGTAGAGGGGCAGCAACCAGAAGGGTTGTCACTGGGAAGCGGCAGGGTTCTGACCGGGAGCTTAGGCACTGTGGCTGGGGATGGATCCTCAAGCCTGCAGGCATCCTCAGACAGCCCCAAAGAGGGGAAGGCATGGAGGATCAGAGCCCCCAGAAGGGGGAGAGAGGTGACACTGGCTAGAAGGACC